ATATATATATATATATATATATATATCCTTTTTTTCTCCACACACACACAAAAAAAAGCACAGTTTTTGCGAATGAAAAGTAAAATTCACCCCATTACATAAATCATGAAACACTACATTTAAATAAAATCAAATGAAGAGATAAGCTGTTTAATCACATTTTAAAAATTGGACAACCATTTTTATTTACAAGCTGCAAACATGTTGGTTTAATTCTTGCACTCAAGTCACGCCTCGCTGAAACATGCAAATCAACAATATGAGATCTGCATTATGACTGGATGAATCCCATTGTAGACAATGATGATTGGCAGAGCCCGGTTGATTCCAAAAACTGAAAATAATTGTGAAATGCCCAGTTTCAATGTTTTTTGTCAGTCAAAAAAGTTTTCCATATTTTTGACTTCATTTGCTTCAACTGCGTCCAGCCTTAAGCAGAATGTATTCATCCGTTAAAAAACAACAACATTTAAAAAAAAAAAAAAACAATTTAGGGACGAAATTTTAGCATTCAATAATCAAGATTACCATTATATAATCATGCACATTTTATTCAACAGCTTACTTGCTTTACTGGATGCTTAATATTGAATACATTGAAAGTGTTATAATCTTTGATATATTGGAAATAATGTTTAATTGTTGACACTCTGTTCGATTTTAAAATTTTTATTTGCATTGGGCAAAACCAAATTTATCATAACCAGCACCCCCCCCCCATTCGCCCCCATGTGTTAGTTGGTAATACAGCTGCACGTCCCTGCATTACAATGTTTGAAAAGCTGTCAGCATAATAACCTATTTTAAATACGCAAAAAGATGTACGCAAAAAGATGTTATTTACAGTATGTTACCTTCAGTATTTTACTTTCAGTATGTTACTTGCAGTATGTTACTAGCAGTATGTTACTTGCAGTATGTTACTTGCAGTATGTTACTTGCAGTATGTTGAAAAGAGTCTCACTATGGGGAGAACTATTTATGTAGGCTAAATGTTAGAAAGTTGCCTCCGCGTATGAAGGGAAGTAAATCATCGAATATTTCGGAATTTGACCGATACGTGCACCTTTTAAAACAGTTTATTTCCCTTTTTTTCCTCTCACACCACCACTTTTCTTTATTTTAGTTTTAGTTAATATGCTGAAATATATATATATATATATATATTATTTTTTTTTAAACAATAATTTTTTTTTATTTAAAAAAAAAATCTCGAACATTAAATCCTGGTTGACATCCTCCATTTGTTGCACGCCCTTTGACTATGATCTCAACGATTGATTAGTCTTAGATCAGAAATGACACATTTTAACTTTGATTCTACCCGATGCTACGTTGCATCAGTACCGGTTAGACCAGTGGTCGGCCAACCGCGGCTCGCGAGCCGCATGCCGCTCTTTAGCGAGCTGAGCGCGACTCAACCAGTCGGCCACAAATCGGTTTAGACTCCAGAAAAAACAGGGTTCTTGACAAGAAATGTGGC